ATTTTGATAGGTTTCAAGATTACAGACGCTCCTATCATCTGTATTTTAATATTGGAGAGAATTGTTCACAAAATTTATGGTATCAACAACTGAACTGAAGAGAGTGGAACAAGATTAAAATAGCTTTATGTGAATTGATCACATGACAAATCTGCATTAGTTTTATTATGAATTAATTGATTGTTTTAGTCTGAAGACACATGATTCAACACCATTACTTCATGAACAACTTAATTATACAAGACACTGTTTATTACATTGTAGGTCACCTGAGTAAACTCAGGTGACCTATTGCTATCTGTTTTCGTCCATTGCTGTGTGTTGTGTGTCGTGCGTTAACATTTGAACATTTTCATCTTCTTCTCTGCAACCACTGAACCAATTTCAACCAAATTTGGCACAAAGCATCTATGGAGTGAAGGAGAACAAAAATTGTGAATTTCATGATCCCTGCCCCCCCTGGGGCCTGGGGGATGGGGCAAAAACCACTAAAATTAATGCAATCTTTAAAAATCTTTTATTTTACTCCTTGATATCAAGCAGTCAAACTGTTTGCATGATTGTAACCAGCATTGAGTCCTCTACCAAAATTGTGAAATTCATGGCCCATGGGTCAGGGGTTCTAGTGCTAGGGTGGGGCTAAATAAGTATATAGTGTAAATGCATTATTTCTTTTAAAATCTTCTTCTCTGCTACTGGGTATTAAATAAACCAACTAGGTACATAGTTATGATGAGCAATAGTGCCTCTACCAAAATTGTGAATTTTATGGGCCCAGGGTCAGGGGTTCTGGTGTTAGGGTGGGGCGCTATTGATTATATATAGTGAAAATACATGAATTCTTTGAAAATCTTCTCTGCTCCTGGATATTAAATAAACTAACTAAGTGCATAGTTATCACGAGCAAGAGTACTTCTACCAAAATTTTGTATTTTATGGCCCCAGGGTCAGGGGTTCTGGTGTTAGGACGGGCCTCTATAGATTATATAGTGAAAATACATGAACTCTTTGAAAGAAGTCTTCTCTGCTCCTTGGTATTAAGCAGATGAACTACCTATATAGTTATGATGAGCAAGGGCGCTAATCTTCCAGAATTGTGAATCTCAAGCCCCAGGGGTCGGGGATACCATAGGGGGTTTGGGGGGGGGGGCTGTACTTATATACTGAAACTGTATGAATTGTTTGAAATCTGCTCCTTGGTATTAATCAAAAATTTTTGAAAAGCAAGGGTGTCTTTTCAAAAATTGTGCAATGTGTGTATCTAGGCTAAAGGGTCAGGGGTTCATGTGTGATAGGGGCATTACTAATTATTGCTGAATATTACTAATTACTTGAAATGCATTTTTTGTTCCCCTACCCTGCCTATTGGTGTTAAGTAAACAAACTAAGCAACTGCTAAGTGTATTGTTATGATGATCAATGGTGCCTCTTTCAAAATTGTGAATAGCATAGCATCTGGCTTAAAACGTGAATCAAATTCAATCACTGGAAAGTTGTTGCATAATGTTCAGGTGACCTATAAGGCCCATGGGCCTCTTGTTAACTTAGGCCCATTTAACCCCAGCCACATACTCTCGTTACATATTTGGATGAATTTCAATATTTTCCCCCTAAGGATATTTTCCTTATTGAAAACATGCTTAATTTGGATTACACTGATACAGTATATGCACATGAACATATGTGACTAGTTTGTAAGTAAATACGTTTGTTTATTTGCACCAGCATAGCTTAAAATTGAGGATCCAGATTTGTTTGATATACTTTTTGCACTTATCTATGAATTCGAACCATATTGTTTCACATTCATCAGAAATATCCTGGATTGACAATTTAAAAGAGATCTCTAATTCTCATTAAGGAAGCAGCTTGGAGATTGTTTTCTGGTTCTTGTTCCATTGATAATTGTAAGTAGGAATGCAAGGCGGCCTCTTTGTCCCCTGAAATCTGTTGACAGGTACCTGATCCCACCTCTGATGTTTCGGAGGTCCGTGTTTGCTCTGCTCCTATTTGTATTGTTTTATGGACTATCCACATCCTTCTTTGACTTTCAATTTGAATTTCAATTTACCATTATTCTGTCCTCCAACATTCTGATTTACTAATGCATTTAAAAAATTTAATTTTTTTTATCTTTGCAAAGTCTTTAAATTTTACTTGGTGTAGTTAATTCTTAACAAAAACTGACCTCTGGTCACTTATATGTTATTGGTTGCTAGTTCATCCTAACCAAATACATCTTTTGATTAAAAAGTAAAGAACTGCATACCAATGATTCAATATCTTGGAACGGTCAACATCTACCGGTATGTTTATTTTTATCTTTGGAGCTCGCAGGATCGAGTCCAAGAGTAGACGCTCTAACCACTTCGCCACGCGGACAAACCTAACATGTGTTAGATACGTTTATTTATAACCATTTGCCAGTGACAAATTGTCAGCTGTCAGTGACAAGTTTACTGCCAACAACAAACACTTACACAGACTAGGCTCATACTACGATACTATATAATAAAACATAGCAATTTGTATAAGAATCAATGTTAGTTTATTAGCAATTACATGTACATGTAAAATTTGCAATTTAATTCAAGAATTCTGTATCATTTAACCTATTTGACGAAGAAAGACAATCAATGTAAGACACTGTAATAATTATTTTTATAAGCATTTCTTTAAGATTGACATGTTACCATACATTTTAATATTTCTGCAAAAACACAAAGAATTGTATTCGGTAATAACTAATATTCCCCCCCCCCCCCAATCAAGCTTTGATGGAGATATATTTAATTAAGTTCGTAAACATGGGTGTATATGCTGACTTCAAAGCACTGAATATTTTCATAAGTAATGACGCCATATGTACATAATGACGTCACAAACATGACGTAATTTTCAGTTTTTTATGAATTTTACAGAAAAATGTACATATTTGGTCGATATTTTGAGTAAAAGTGAACGAGCGCATGTGTGTTCAGGATCAATATTTTGATATAATATGTAGAATGATAATATCAATGAAATATGCCAATATTGTTCCTGAACAGACATGCGCTCTATAAGTTTTGAAGCTTAAATTGTTGAAATTTTGTCCATTTTGTCCTGTTTCTGAAAAAGGATATAAAATCGGACTAGTTTGTGACGTCATAAAAACAATAATTTGTGAATACACTGCTTTGACACTAAAATGTTTTCTGTTAATTTATATTTCTCATACAATTTATTCAATTCAGCACATTTCTGGAAGTTTTCAAAATTTGACTTTTGTGGGGGTAAATATATGCAATATACCGCATATATATAGTTCTTTGATCAATTTTGCTAGTTTATTTTGAAACAACTCTTTCATTTCTTTTTTGGAATTCACTGGAACGAGTTCATTTTGTAGTAGAAAACAGCTGTTTCATAATTAGTTAATTGATAGATGAATTGTATGCAGCTTAACGTCTCTCTCGAGAATTTTCACTTATATGTAGACACCACAATTTGCCGGTGGAGAGCTGCAAATTTTGTCCTATACTCGGCACGTAGGGCCATTGAGCAGGGAGGGATCTTTTTCGTGCCAGCGCCTACTGCGACACGGAACATATATAATTGATAAGATAAATATGTAATTTGCTTGTCTTCTTGTTTAATTTATCTGATTAACCACATTTGTTCATAAGCGTGGGGTATTTATCTATTGTACTGCTTTGTTAATCCAAAAAGATCAGAAATAGCTTTTCTTATAATAGGTAGTTGTCTTATTAATGAAGCAGTTTTAAATTTGCTAACAGGATCTTGTTCCATGGACAGCAAATACGAACAAAAAGCTGACCTGTACTTTCCGGACATCTGTTGACAGATTCCTAAAATCTGCCATGATATGTCACCCTCCATTACAGATGGAGATTCTAGTTGGTCTTCGAAAACTAGTGACTGAAGTTCTTGTAATGCTGATTCTGCTTTCACGTGCACTGGGTCAATCTGTGAGTAGCACAAGAACTCAAGCATGTGCAACAGAAGAATGGCTGGAATAAACGTTATGTTAACATCTTCGTGGCTATTCAAACTATATTGCTGTTCGAGATATAATTCTTTGATGTAACAGATGCCCTTTTCAAGATTTATTTTCCCTGCTACAACCATTTTTCTTTTGTTAATCCAGATTCGTTTCTCTAATGCGCTTGCATCGATCTCCTTTTCTTTAAAACATTCATACATGTCCCTTACACATATCTGATATAACTTGACCTTTATCATTTCTAAATTGGATAAAGCTTCCAAGTATCTACAGGTCCTATAAAAATACATTGATAAAAACAACCTTTCAAAAACACTACCGAATTTTACAACTAGGGTCAGCATATACCTGGACATTTTGTCAGCTGTATAATTTAGTTTGTTTTTTCTTTTGTTAAAGTACTGATTGTGTAATAAAAATGCAGTGCTCTGAAAAACAGTGGTTACCATTTTTTGTAAAAAGACGACTTTATACCGTGACAGTGGTCTAATAATCAGCTGCTCAAGTATCTGTAGGCTTTGTATGCAACCGAGTAGATTACCTCTATCTAATGAAGCACTTATTCCCATTTCTTGGAAAGTTATTTCTTCATGTGTGCAAAGAAGTTGTCCAGGGTTATTCGGTTGATGAATCATATTGCTAATTGTGGAACTGTATGGTAGAGAGGAATATCCTCTCTCATACAACGCATACAGTGTAATAAATAAGTCATTCTGTGCTTTCCCTTGTATTTTACCTAGAAATATGTTGTTTTTTGGGATGAAAAAATTAGGACAAACTCCTTCATACACGCATTTTAGGATGAACCTAAAGAAATCCCAGAAACCCTCCAGCAGATTTTGAGGACACCAGTCACGAACTGTGTTTTGCTGAAGCACCCAGAAAACTGCTGTTTTCATGTGATATGAGCACAGTATTTTATCTTCAGCACATACTCCATGGTTAACAACTTCTTTTAGGAACAATTTTAGCATGCCATACGTTAAAAACTGAGAGTGGTTCATAGAATACACAAGTTTTTGTTCTGCAAGAGAAAAAGAGATTCTCCATTCATCGTCTTCATGATTCCCTTGTTTGTGTCCGATTGGTACGAGGTGACATCCACTTTTCACTATTTCATTAACTCTTTGAGATCCCGGCCAGGCTTGAGATCTGGCTATCCATGGGGAAGCCAATGGAGGCCAAATGTCACAGGCAAAACAATGAGCAGTGTCAAAATCCATATCGTACATAAAACCACTGCTACATGGGCCATGTTCCGTAAAACCTGGAAATAAGCCAGAAAGGGTGACTTTGCGGAGTTCAGAACTAGATATGTAAAATCTATCATTTATACTGATACCGGCCAAATACACACTATCCATATTTGTAAGTGTCATTAAAACTAGAAGTGTGTATCCTGGCGGACTTTCAGAGCCGTCAGAAAGAATCAATGTTTGTTTATCTGTATTGTAATTTTGTGCCTGTTCCTTGTCCCAGATAACTTTATGATCTTTAGACCACATCATAATGTCTATATCTGATCCTTTAAATCTGAATCCTTATCTGCGACTTCCACTTGGCAAAAATTGGAACTGAACATCTGCTCCATGCAATGTATCCATCATATCGATGAGATCCAGGGCATCTCTTCTCATTGCAACCTGTTGAGGAGTCCCCAAATTACGGCACAGTCCCTCAAACACTGATTGTGATATACGCTTCATGCCGATGTCTCTGAAAATGTAACATAATGAAAAATAGCATTAATATACATTATAAAGTGTTCAAAATATAGTTTGAATTGTCAGAAATATTACATTAAACATTTTTTTTACGAAATCTGAACCTTAATATTTTCACTTAACCCTAACATTCGTTAAATTTTGACAACTCTCCAAGAAAGTAATTATGCGGAGACAAAAGGATATGAAGCACTTAAAATACGTACTCGAAAAAGAAAATACAAAAAGCTAGTTTATTTAATTTCTTTTTTGTATCACACATGTACGCTAAAAGTTTTAGAAATTATACTGCCCTCAAAATCAAAAGGGGTCTTTCTAAGGACAAAGGCAGTTATGTTTTACTTATGCAACAAAAATGCTTTCTGTGGTTGTTACGGAAACTAATGATGCAGCTATTGCAGAAAAAAATACGTAACCCGCGTAACAGATTTTATTTTTTATATTTATATATATGTATAAATAATAATTTAAAGTAGGATAAAAACAGATTGATTATTGTATAATTGTATTACGCCATATAGTATGTTTCATTGATGGAACACCCACTGGTGTTTTTGTACAGGTGATATGCCTTGTGTTGTCCATGAACTGATCAACTGCAATGGTTCTCTTAATTAATAAAGGAGAAAATATTCAGTGGAATGTAAAAAAAAAATTTCAAAGTGGATTTCTTTGTTAGCATTTTCTGTATTTTAAAGGGAACAAATCCGCCTTTCTCTTGCAGTTTTAAAATCACTCTATTGTTATTGTTAGGTTGCATATGAATGAACTTTAAAGAATTCTTTAGACCATTGTTTTCATTTCAATTCAAACGTCATTGCATTATTAAATTCTAATCGGAAAATATTGGGATATTAGATATTTGATCAATTTCTACAGAAATATGAATGATATAAAACATTTTGTCACGGAGTAATATTTCTATAGTGAAATAATTCCACCTTTTGTAAACAAGCTCAAACAAGCTGCGCGATTTTTTTTTCAAGTTTTCTCTTGTAAATAAGTGTAATACATGATACTCAATTATCGACAATGATAAAAAGATTAGATTCATATTAAGATTGATAATTAACGTAAAATAAAATTAATAAAACAAGATGTCACTTACTTTTTCGACATAGTGTCTGAATCCATTTTTTCTTATTGAAAATTACCAGTAAAATTACCCAACTCAGAGAATTAGACAAAAAATCCTACTGAGGTATTTTTAGTTTGTTGCAAACTTTAAAGGGAATTCGATACGTAGTAGGCCATAATATGATCAATCAATATTCATACGTGTTTTCCCTGGTAGAGTCAACCAAAGAATTGTTAAATACAATTTGTTCAAAGTAACTGAATGTTAAAAAGGTGAAATTATTTCACTATAGAACTATTACTGTATAGGGGGAAAATAACTCGCGGTGTTAATATTCGCTATATTCAGGGTGATAATAAATCCGTGAATTCAAGAAACAGTGAATGATTTTTCAATAATCTCCATTTTTTTTTGAAATTTGAAAACAGACTACGATAGGTTTTAATACATGTACCTCAGTACATGGTCATTTCAGTAATTACGAGTAGTACTTGTCATTCAATTATTTTAATTAGCACGCTTTACATTAATTCCAGTCAACAGATAATAACCTTCTGTAATTTAATAGCCAACGCTATATGTTTCATCAATAAAACATGTGTGACATGAAATTGATTACCCGTGCGTAACTTAGGTTACCACGCACAGTGTGTGCATTACCTGCATATTATCATGCATATTATAGTTTTTATCGACATTTTGATTAAAAAAAATCATTCAAATAACTATCGAACCTACTAAAGATTTGGAAGGATATTATTTCGTCGACCTACATTAACACATTTATTACCGTCCAGTGGTTTTTCGCCGCGATGTATTGAAGATCTTGGGGTGTATATGCACTCATCGTAATAGAAAGTTATTTGACGTTTATAGTCAAGGGCTTTTGATAACTGCTCCTGTTTTCATTAATCGTCAATTATTTATTAAGTCTAACTATTTTATATTAACCTACCCTATCGTTCGTGAAATAAAGGCATAACAATGATGAATGTCGTTTATAATTACATGTCGCTACATGGATTAAACGGATATAGACAAGGGGGTAACTTCTATAACATAAGAATTCCGCGAATTCAAGAAACCGCGATCGTGTCCGATGAGAGAAAACCGTGAATATCACAACCCGTGAAATTAATCCCCTATACAGTACTCCGTGACAAAATGTTTTATATCATTCATATATCTGTAGAAATTGATCAAATATCTATTAACCCAATATTTCCTGATTAGAATTTAATAATGCAATTACGTTTGAATTGAAATGAAAACAATTATTAAGTGTTTAGTTTTGAAATGTTTTTTGAAATCCCAAACTGTCTGTCTTTCAATTTGTCTTTCTGTTCTTTGTCTCTTTATACAATTTTTAAAAATTCCACTACTTTTATAGTGTTCCTGCAATTTCAGGACTAATGGACACAAAAGTAAACTACACCCAGGTACACAAAGCTGCATATCGTTTATTCTTTAATTAGTCGAATAATGTTGCCATGACAACATAAAATACTTTCACAATCTCTCTTTCGCAGTTTTTGTCTGCCTTCATTAAAAATAGGCATACAAGTAAAGAACAGAATGAAATATAGTTTTGTTTATTTCTTTATTTCTTTTTTTCGATGAAGGGCATTGCCATTGTTATTTAAATTAATGTCTGTGAAATTTATGAAATTCTTTTCCCCTCATTATTTTGGTCTGATTTTAATTGAACCTGCCCTACAAGTAGATACATTAAGATTAATACTTCTTTGTATCATTGTATCTTTTTTTTTTATTTTAAGACGAACCTATTGATCATTTAATTAATATTACAAAATGAAAATTCTAGTTTGCAATTTTCATCATCATAAAGAAAACGCCTTATGCAAAATAATGATAATAAAAATCGCAGAAAATTATAACCTAAATGAAAAAAACAATGCGACTGACTCTAGATCCTGTGCATTAAAAGAACAATTGAAAATTAAGATTTAAAACCTTCTACTGATAATAACATGGCAGAAATTACTTGCAAGCATTTTTGTGTTATTTTTTGTAATGAGTCTAATAATAGGATGGAAGAAGAAACAGAAGAAGCAAAGCTTAAAAATATTGGATATAGTCTATTCCCCATTCATTTGACACTGTTGTTTTAGGTAGATTAAAGACATTCTCCTTTTTTTGGTCAACACTTTTGTGTACAAAACAATGCAAGGAACCCTTCTGTGTACATAACAATACCAATGCTGAAGCAGCCTATGTGTCATTCCTTTAAAGGATAATTCATAAATAGGCACTTGGTCATTTTTCACACTTCAGTGACCTGTCCTTAAAACACATCATCGTAATAGTCAACTACAAATAATTAAACTTTTTAATAATTTAATTAAAGGTATGCATAAGTTTTTATCTTATTTGATAATTTCATGTACATATTATTCTATCAACAAGCGTATGAATTTTTTCAATATGAGCAACTTGAAAAATTAGTTGAAAGGCCTACGTAAAAGACCAAAGTCTAACTTCTGACGTAATTATAACATTCAAAGTACCTTAAAATCATTATAATGTTTAAAAAAAAAAGACAACAATGATAATCCGCTTTCCGAATGTAGTTTATCTATTTATTAACAACCATACAAGAATTACCGAAAAATAAGACAAAAATAAAGACTGTATTGTTTGTCTGGAATTACCCCATGTCCGTAATTGAACGGATATCCCGTAATACATATTTAATTCTATACACAATCCACGTCTGCAAAATTTTGTCACACAATGATACATGCATAACGCTTTAATATTGCCAAAAAAACCTTTCACACTTGCCATATAAGATTTTACTATCAATAATATCAGTACCGTGGTATACCCTTCGCATTTGTTATATAAACCTATCTGCAAAGTTTAAAACGTTCGCACGATTGTTTGTATTTTCCTTTGAAATCTTTCAGTAAAAATGTTTCCCAAGATATTTTTTATAAAAAGTATGTGAAATAACAATATTTTCCTGTTTATACAACATATTTTAAATATTTAGAGACTTCGTGTATGTCACTTTGGAATAAAACGCATAAGGACGTTTCTCCTTAACATGGATTGAATTGTGAACAAAATCAGTCATTTATATGCATTTCACGTACACTTTAAGCAAAAGCTTTTGTAATATAATTCACCAGCTGCAAATATAACTATGTTGAACTTCATTTCTATGCTTTACTCTCAGTGCATGATTAAGGTACTCATCTTATATACAGATAAAATATTTTATCTTAACGCCTATTGAACTTTTATCGAATGATAGGGAGTGAATGCATTATAGTTCTTTATGTAAATTTAAAGGCTGCTGATGTTCTCATGGTATGGAATGCACCAGCTGCCCACAGTCAGAGTACAATATACATGTACATTTTCATCTACATGTTATATAATTAGGACCCCTGATATTGAAAAAAAGCACATTTACAGAAAATCTGTATAAGTTTGCAGCACTTTTCACAAATTCTGAGAGTGATGAAAATATTTTTAATAGACTTATATTTAAAACTGAGTGTGCCCTTTTAGCATTAGAATTTAATGATGACATCCCCCCTCCCCTTGCCCCCCTGTTGCTCCGTGCCTGTCTGCGCAATATCTGGAGAAGCCTTTAAATTGAGCTTCTGTAATGAAATACCTTTACCCTGTGGCCCAAAATCAACTCTATTTATTTCTTTATTTCAAGGTCAAAGTT